GTCCAGAGTAAAGGAACTGTTTTTCCCCTTGGGATCCTGACCCATTGAGGCATGCAAGCCACGTCCTTGATAACGTCGGAGAGCAACGGGGCTGGCCAAAGGGGCTCCTGGAGCAGATGGAGCCGTAATTATATCGGAAAAATCACATCGGAAGCGGGAAACAGATTCATGCCACAAGCGGAGAACGAAAGAAACGGCGGGGAGAAAGAGGCCCGTTTGAACTTATTCATGAATAATTTCCAGCCGGTGTTGTGGCAAGGCCTCCGGGCAAAATAAATAAAAACCAAAGCAGAATATTTATTTCCGTCCGTCTTCTTGTTTCGACGCAGAAATTAAGAGGTCGGGAGTTGGGAAAAAAATCTGCGGTGATCCCAGCCTAACCTGGTTTGATTTTGATCAATACTGTGTGTGCAACCTTCGCTGTGGTTCTCTTGTGGCCCACCAGAGGAGCTGGCAGCAGATTCAGACAGTGAGGAGGTCAGGGAGGAACATGGGCCAGTCCTGGAGTCTGGGGAAGGCTCCGATGAGGGCTCTGCGTCGGAAGCAGAGAGGGGGCCAGAGCTGTCCAACAGTTATCAGCTGCCTTCAGAGTCAGACATCAATGGGGCAGAAGAACAGCTGGAGCCTGTTCCCAGTGTGCTCATGTGCAAAGCTGTCAGACGAAGGGAACAGCTAAAAAACAAGGGTCAACTTGGGAGTAAGGCCACAGGTGGACGGTGAATGGCCCCTCCCATAGGGAATAAAAGAGGAGCAAAAGGGGAGTGGAGTTTGCAGGAGACCATTACTTCACTCCTGCATTCTTGCGGCGTCTGAAAGATATCGGCCTGGCCACTTTCCAAGCCTGATAAAGGCCTGTAATTGTGAACTATCTTGAAAGACTGTGGGAGAGGAAAGACTTGGCTGGAGAGGAATTCACTGTACATTAAATAAAAGGGGTTTATCTGGACGAGGACTCAGATCCATGCTGCCTAGGTCAGAACAAGTCCGTGGCTTGGTTTGGTTCACTTGTTTCTTAGCTACCTCAGGGTGAAAAGTGTGCAAGCCACCATCCTCTCTTGTGAATCCTTATTTTCGAAGAAAGAACAGTGATGCAAACCTAAGGAGAAACATTAGGAAAAGTTGTTGTGAGGTTGTAAGATGAGCTCCTGAATTCAAGGGTGTTTTCTAATCTTGGAGCTGAGTTTAATCTCCATCCGTGACTCATCTACCACTAAGAATCACTCTACAAAGAACTTCAAATTATTTGAAAACCGTATTTCAGTTTCTCTTTGTCTATAAATATGATACTATTATATACAGTCCTTAATTTACAATCCTTCTTTCCATTTAGACATCTTTTTTTTCATCTCTGCCTATACATTGTTAATTCCTAACTCCTGTGTCTTCTTTGTTTAGTCTTTACTTAAACTCGTTCCACACCATATAATGTATGGAACTACATTTACAATGGGTGTATATCGAGGTGGAAATGTTGCACAGAAGGAAATTGCAAAATATATATATATATATTTTGTGTGTCTTTTTTTTTAAACCTGTTCAATAAAATATTTAAAAAATAAATGATTTGAAAACACTGTGATCATGCACTCATCCAGGCGATGCACAGCTAGTCCTAGAGATCTATGGCAATTGAGCCCAGAGGTTCTGTGGCTAAGGGAGACATTGGTTAAGTGAGTTGTGCTCCGTTTTATGACCTTTCTTGCCACCGTTGTTAAGTGAATCACTGCAGGTGTTAAGCGATTAACACAGTTGTTAAATGAATCCCGCTTCTCCATTGACTTTGCTGTAACCGTCATAAATATGAATCAGTTGCCAACTGTCTGAATCTTGATCACGTGACTATGGGGGCGCTGGGACAGTTGCAAGTGTGAAAAATGGTCACTGGTCACTTTTTTTCATCACTGTTGGACTCAAAGACCCCCAAGATCCCTTCCAACTTTTTAAAGTTTTCAACTTAACTTTAACTTTTTAAAACTTTTTTCTCAAAGCATCCAAAAGTAGAACATGAAGCAATGGGTGGAAACCAATAAAGGAGAGAAGCAATCTAGAACTAAGGAGAAAGTTCCTGCAAGTTAGAACAATTAAACAGTGGAATAATTTGCTTCCAGACCAGGGGTGGGTTCCTGCCTTTTCTAACCTCTTCTATAGAAGAGGTTCCACAAATCTCCACAAATCTACAGTGCCATTTAGAACTGGTTCCTTCCTCCCCCTGCCCGTCCGCACATCATCAAGGTGAAGAGCAAGAGGAGGAATTCTGGGGGTTGAAGTCCACAAGTCTTAAAGCTGTCAAGTTTGAACCCACCCGTGTTTTTTTTTTTTTTTTT